AAAAGCGGAAAAATTCTGGCCATGCCGGAATCAGACCCGTCATGGGGTATACGATGATGCCCATGATGATAGGAGGAATCAGCCTCAGAGGAACGATATCAAACACGACCTTGGACGCAAAGTATGTAACCGGATGGTAGTAACCATTGGCACGTTCACGTACAAACAAAAGCCGCTCCGTGGAGAACACGTTGAGACTAGTCAAAGTACTGAAACCAAACAGAGCCAAGATAAAGAAGAAGAGACCAAGACGATTCTGGAAGCCCTTGATATCGTCAGTGAGACCATAGAAGAGGTACCCAGATAAAACCGCGAGAAGGATGGCAATTGCGTAATGGGTGAGCATTAGCATTGGGTTTCGATAAAGGTTGCGCCATGTCCGCTGAGACAGGATAATGAACTGCCGCACCAGACCAACTCGAGCATAGCCCTTAGACTGTACCACAGTATCTGACAACATGGGCGAATTTGGTGAACCGTTGACGGCTTGGGCATTCTGAACAGCGGTCAAAATCTCATCATGCACAAAATGGCAAACATCAGAATCCGCATAGCTGGCAACGAGAAGGTCGAGATCACTTTGTCCAGGTGCTGGAGGAGGCAGCTGATCGGGGTCATCAAGGATTTGCGGAGGGACATTGCCTTGTTGACGAGAAAGACGCAGCCACTGTTGATGATTCTCAGCTACATCCAAAGTCGCACTCTCGTCATCCGTCTTTGGCGTGATTGGCCGCTCAGTTTGTTGCTTTCGGGAGTAAAGCTGGCGATCTTGTTGCTGTTTCAGAGATACCCGGCGTTTGTTATTGGGTCTCCGGGTCGCCTCTGCCCCGCTTGGGTTGTCTTCAATGCTCTGGATCGACGCGCTGTTAATGGACTTGACAGCCCGGAGACTGCTTGATGCAGTCTTGGGCGGACCAGTGCGCCCATCCATAGACGATGTTACTTCATCTGTATATGATGAATGTACGCCCCCAGCGTGCATTGTAAGATCGACAAGGTAATCCGCAATGTTGAATCCTGGCGGGCAGGAATAGCCCACACGGTCAAAATACTGTTGGCAGGATGAGAAAGGCCCAGAATAGACAGTGCGTCCTTCAGCGAGAAGGATAAGTCGGTCAAACAGGGCAACGATGTTAGAGCGAGGTTGGTGGATGGTGAAGATTACTGTGCGGTTATATGTCTTGGCCAGAGTCACTAGACATTCAACCACATTGAACGCATTGTAGGAATCCAATCCACTAGTGGGTTCATCCAAGAACAGGATACTAGGGCTAGTAACCAGCTCACAGGCAATCCCGACTCGGCGCTTCTCTCCACCGGAAATGCCACGACCATTGCCTTCTTCTGAGCCAATTAATTGATCCTTGATGTGGTAGATTCCAAGTTGCTTTTCGACCTCCACAACTCTTTGCTCTTTAGCTACCCGGCTCATGTCCCGGGGAAGTCTGAGTAGGGCGCTTGTCAATATGGTCTCATGGACTGTCAAGGTGGCAAGCATTGTGTCTTCTTGGTCGACAAAGCCGACCATGGATCTGAAGTCATTATCGTCGATTTTCTCACCATTGACATAGAAATCTCCATTCACTGAGCCACGCTTGTTCTTTCGTGCCAGGATATCAAGGAATGAGGTTTTTCCAGCACCAGACGCTCCCATAATGGCTGTAATTTGGCCTGGTATGGACGCGCCTTGAATACCAGAGAGAATCTCTTTTCCGTTTAGTGTATAGGTTACATTGTCCCAGTATAAAGCCACGGGGCGATAGTCTGCCATGAGTTTAGCAGTCTCATCGTCCGAATCATCCGAGAGAGACAGGCGAAGATAACTGCGGCGCGCAGCACGACGGGACAAGTACCAAACGAGCAGAATGACAGCAACCACAAATAGTGAACTTCCCGCGATCACGCCAGCAATGAGTGGAGTGTTGATTTTCTTCACGGGACGCTCATATCCCGGTTCATCGGTCTTGTACATGCACTCTCCTGAATCGCACGACAAGAAGATGCTGGGATCACCGAAGACGCCTGCAATCAATCCATTCATTTCAGGTTCGGAGAAAACGCTCTTGGTACCCTCCAGGGTTGATTTAGTATCGAAAGTAGCCGGGCCCTTGATCATTTGATCAAGGAAATCGCTCAGATCGATAGAACCGTTCTCACCACAGAGGAAACGGCCCGGAATACACTTGCACTGAAGGTGCTCACACTTGTAGTGAGTTGTATTGGAGCTGTAGTCTGTTTCCATGTTCCACTCGCAAGTGTCTAGGCCGCAATAGAATGACTCTTTCTGGTCGACCCAAAATTGGAAGCTACATGTTTCATCCTCGGCTTTGCAGGAGAAGGTCACTTGGGGCTTGCGGCCGTCGAGCTGTTTCAAGATCGCACGGTTGGTCACATCACACATTTGAAAATTCTCCTTGACCGTGACACCTTGCTTGTGGCACACGCCCCCTTGACCTTCTGGCATCATAGCGTCGCAGGCGTCATCCGAGTCACAGACATTGCAGTTGATGCCTTTCCAGCCATCCTTGCATTTACAGGTATTGGTATCACGCTGCGGTCGGTTCAAGTTGTCGGCCAACGAACCACACAGGGGAACCGAGCAGTCATCGCCTCCAAATCCGGGGGGACATGAGCATTTGCCGTTGAAGTTGTTGCAATCCGCAAAATGAGTGCAGTTATAGTTGTCGAGCTGGCAGTTGAAGCAAGCCGGACACTCGGGACATCCGGGTGGCCGATCATCGAAGAGGGAATATTGCGCAGCGAGGTTTGCGTCGGAAAATTCGCTCCATGCTGTAACAGATCCCAGTAAGGGGTTTAATGTGAGAAGCGAAAGAGTTATTGCGCCAGTCAAGCGCATCTTGTGAAGGATGGCAGCAGCGTGTCCTGATACGCAGCGATACCGACAATCGAGGAAGGAATGCGGGGCGGACCGCCGAATTGATCAAAACAGATGATAAAACTGGAGCATATAGTTGAAGTAAAAGGTAGAGACAAGGGAGACAAGTTTGAAGGTTGAGAAGCAGGAAGCGGAGAGAGGGTGAGATTGGCCCACAGGCGATGACGCGGGCGGAGAAGAGGCTGGGCTGCATGAGCGTCAGGAACCCTCAGGTGACCTCATGGACAGATGTTATGCAAGGTTAACCTCGAAGATTTTCTTTTTACAGCTATAACTACAGAATAGATAAGTCATGAATTCCAAGCTTTCTTATGTATGGTGTTTCTTCCCTCTGTTATGACTGTCCAGGTGGCGCCTCAATGCGGGGAAACACGTGATGCCATCAGAGGTGATGCATAGTCGACCAATTTAGCGTGCCTAAACAGAGTACTTGCTCTTTGCTACAGTTACTAGATAATCTTACTTTATTATTATTTACGGGCACCTGAGGTTTTTGAGATGTATCAAGCGTGGGCAACCTCCCCAAGAACTCCATCAGGGCTACCAGGCCATTATGAATCTATCTATTTGGTAATATCTTCGATATTGGGGACCAGTATTACAGCCTATTAGACTACAGTAAAAGTTGGAAAGCCACATATAACAGAGTTCATGACTGGCATTTGTATAGGTAGAGATAGTACCCCGTAGTTTATTTACCTCTTGATCCCACATATAAGTTGACGGAGGTATATATCACTTCCTAGGGCCCTGTAAAAGTAGAATTTCTTATATTAGCGAATTATAAATGTCGATATGCATTGACTAGATGAGTAAGTGGGAACTATCTGGGCACGCCTCTGAGCGGCCTGATCTAGAGACTTCTAAAGAGACTGCCCAAAAAGATATGAAGGCCAAAAAAGTGGTCAAGTATTCTTAAGTAGACATACTGCCGCTTGGTGTGTCCAAAGGTTATACAGCCGTCTTAAAAACTAAACTCAGTGTTAAAGTTGTTCTTTTTTATCCTACTTGGAGGAATATGGTCATAGATCTTACAGGGTGAGATTATTTTAGTATCTCGAGGAACTAGAAAAATGTATTATCGATGGATCTTGGTAGCGTCTTTTTTGAGCTAGTGCCCCCGGCTCCTTCTCCGCATCAAATCTCCTCCTCACCACCTCCAGCCGTATTTTCTTCACATTTGATATCCTCCGCCATGACGGGATGGTACTTATCCTGCGTCGAGGAGTTCAGGACTAGGAAAAACATCACGAAGCTGTAGTCTTTCCATTATGTGTTTCGGGGAATGCGGGCCGCCCGCCTAAAACCGGAGATTTTACTGCATATTATTAGTATGAGATTACGAGAGATAGGGTAGAACATACACATCACCTATGATCGTATCGAGTATAATAAGAATTTGTCGGAGGCCTCGCCCGAACTGAAGCTGGAATCTCCATTCCAAAACCGCCTGGCCACCAATGCTTTGTGATTTTCAGTCCGTTTCCGAGTAGTAAGGCAATTTAATTGGGAGACCATTATCGCAAAGGAGTACCTACTTATTGCTCTAATAGATTGGCTATCTGTTGGGATCAGTTTCTAGATGCTTGCTATGTTGTACATATTGTACTATAAGAGTTTTAGCCCCCAACATACAATCTTCCAACACAAAGAAATCACGTCCATGTTGCTATCCCTGCTAGGGCTAAAATATCACGTCAGTACTACAGCAAGCCAGATTATGGGACTTGTATGTTCCTCCGCTTTTTGGATATAACTGAATGTCTTGACCATCTACTGCAATTCGCCAGATAATTTGGAATTTATACCATCCTCATGTCTTTAGCTCTACACTCTTACTTGACTCCCAGAAAATAAATACGAAAAGCGCTTATCTACCGGTTACGTTGTAACTTTAGAAGACACTAGTTAGTAATAATGCTAAGTCATAGTCACAGTACCGTATTGCTAACCAGCACTAACAACCTTCCAAGGAATAGATCTTGAGAGTTGCCTAACATGACTGCTTTTTTACTCGGATAAGTCTCCCTTCAAATAAAACTCCACAGGTTACTTCATTTATCACTTTCCAACTTTCGCTTGTAGGTCTGTTCTTCTGCTCAAAATGCCTTTGCCACTGGTCTTTATCTTTCCTTGCCTTGTACTGGCCAGCCTCGGGACCCTCCAACAACCCCTTCAAGTGTACGAAAACCAGTCCAGTTCGCCCTTTGATGCAAATTTTGACCAAAGGGTCAATTGGGCCCTTGAACATTTCAGTATCCCTGGTCTGGCCGTTGCAGTCGTTCAAGGAGATACATTTGTTAAAGTGCGTGACCCTGTTCTTTATGTGACTAGGTGATTTAAACTGACAAAAAACCGCGAAGGGCTATGGCGTCTCGAATACTATCAGTTCCGAGCCGGTGACAGAGCATACTCTATTTTTCACAGGAAGCACGACTAAGGCCTTCACTTCTGCGGCCATCTCTCTCCTTGTTGACGATAACATTAATTTCCCAGCCATCCATTGGGATACACCGGTCCACACTATCATTCCAGCGGATTTTGTACTCAACGATACTTGGTCTACATCGCAAATGACAATTGTTGACATTTTGTCTCATCGCTCTGGCCTTCCACGCCACGACTGGGTTTGGCTCGCGGATGTAACGCTTCAAGAGGCTGTACGATCAATGAGACATCTTCCATTTACGGCCTCTCCACGGACAGAATGGCAATATTCAAATCTTATGTATTGCGCGGCGTCTCATCTTATCGAGACCGTGACGAACCAGTCGTTGCAGGAGTTCTTGACCGAAAATCTCTGGCTGCCTATGAATATGACAGAGACTTATCTTTCCCTCTCCGAGGCTCGAGACGCACAACGAGATATTTCACAAGGCTATTATGTGGATTTTGACGGTAAAATTGCCTCCACTGAGCAATTATTTACAGATACTATCCGTGGAGCAGGTAACATATTGTCGTCGGTATCAGATTACGCCAAGTGGATTTCAACCATGCTGAAACGTGGACCACCATTCTCCCAGACAGGCTACGAAAAATTGTTTGGTGGCCACTCTATAGTATCGCCTAATCCTATTGAACCGTTTCAAACTCCCACACTTTACGGACTAGGATGGATGTCACAAGCATATAAGGGCGAGAGGATACTATTCCACGAAGGATCCCAGTTTGGGTATGGAGCGTCCGTTATGCTCTTACCAGAGCGAGACTTGGGGCTTGTGTTGCTAGGAAATAATATGGATGGGGTTAACGCGGCGTCAAATGCACTTGCTTATCACGTGATTGACGAAGAAATGGGCATTCCCCTTGAGAGTCGATTTGACTGGGTTGCGAGGTATGCTAGAATTATCAGTCAGTTACTCGATAGCTTGACTTTGTTATCTTTTTTGAAATGTCCCCCTGACCTTTATAAAACACAGAGGCGATGCAATGATCAACGACAGATACCTTTCTGAAAACATCCTATCAGAGCTCTATCCAAGAATTCCTGATCCGCCATTGGCAAGCCCTGTCAATTTCTCTGCCTATGAAGGTTCCTATACCCACCCAGCTTACCCAGAGCTTAAGATGTCCAGCAACTGCAGGGTTGACCGCGCCTACCAAGTACTAAACCGAACAAGCCCTGACCTGTGCGCCTCACTTGCAAGATACAATGACTACTCCAAAGATTTGGAAATAGGATTTTTTCATGTCTCCGGCACATATTGGCTTCAAATTGCGGTGAGGTGGGGCCTTCCCAGTGCTGCCCGGGTGGAGTTTCGGATTGGCCCTGATGGCTCAGCAAGCTGGCTAGGAATTGAAATCGAGCCTTCGATGGCAAAGCGGGAGGAAAGGATATGGTGGAGACATGTAATATAGCTAAGAAATACCGAAAAACCATTGCCTTGACTATATAAAGTGTTAAAGGCACAACGATCCAGCTCCTACTAAGCCTCATACAGTTAGAAAGCAACGAAACATTCTTTGGAAGCTCTTTCCAATTTATGTAACTACCCTGGGTTCCTTCTCTGTAAACTCATATTGTCAACTTTGGATAGCCGTTGTCACATCGTAGAAGAAATTGAAAGCAGCATCAGAAAAGACATTATATAAATACCCTAAGAATGATAACAAAGGACATTAGATATGACGATGGTAAAAAGCCTATCAAATCTCCATGCTCTTTCGTTTCACTTGAATACATAAAAGAGTGTACTCAACTTAGTTATACCCAGGTAGTCTCCCAATGCCGTTGCGAGGGCAACGATGTGATAGCGAGATAAGAATCACAGTCAATAATAGCAACTTGAAGAAGTACGGCCCTTTATGGGCGATAAATTGGATGAACACTGCCCAATTGCCGTAACAACTTTCACTCCACTATATCAAAGTCTCAGGATTGTGACGATCGACTGGGAACGCTTATGGAGTGCTTTATCACGTGATGACACCGACTGGAGGAACTCATAGGGAAAAGTGGCGGTAGCATAACGAGAGACCCAAGTTATTACCCATTCAGCTGAGACTTGGAACATCCGTGTACAAATTTATTTGATTTTATATAGCTACTTCACTCGGTACTACCCATCGTTCTCAACCATGGTGAAGATTGAGGCCTTCGCGGTTGAACAGGTACCTCCCCGCATTACCCCATGACTCGGTGGTATTTATCTGTTCCCTGCGTCGTTATAAATATCCGTTACTAACCAGTCTGCAGTGGATGGACAAGTATGAAACCACTGCCAAGTATAATACCGCTGAGACCTGCTGCGCATCCATCTCCGTCGACGATCTCCGCGCGCTCTCTGATGACAAGGACTCCAACCCTTTGACCCAGCTTCAATCCACCAAACTTACATATGGGGCAATCCGAGGCTCCGATAAACTACGGAATACATTGGCGAACTTGTATTCGGTGAGGGCACCGACGCAGTTGCCGAAGGATAATATCTTGATCACCGCCGGTGCAATCCAAGCGAACTTCTTGCTGCTGTATACGTTGGTTGGCCCAGGAGACCATGTCATCTGCCATTACCCAACATACCAACAACTGTTCTCCGTTCCTGCATCAGTGGGGGCTGAAGTGAGCCTGTGGAAGTCCAAAGAGGCCGATGGGTGGCAGCTAGACATTGAAGAGCTGAAAGGCCTTATTCGTCCCAACACGAAGTTGATCATCATAAAGTATGTCTGACTCTTGTTCGCAATTATATGAAGTCGCGCATTTTCCTGACCATCATGCCTGTCATAGTAATCCGCAAAACCCTACTGGAGCCATCATCCCGCGCCAGACACTCCAACAATTGGTCGATATTGCCCGCGAGAAATCCATCATCATCCACTCCGACGAGGTCTATCGCCCACTTTTCCACAACATCAGTCCCGCGGACCCAAGATTCCCACCTACACTTCTTTCCATGGGATACGAACGCACCGTGGTGACAGGATCTGTTTCCAAAGCATATAGCCTAGCGGGTTTGCGGGTCGGCTGGGTTGCGTCGCGGGATAGTTCTATCATTGAAGCTCTTGCCAATGCACGCGATTATACAACTATTTCGGTCGGGCAACTCGACGAGGCGATTGCCAGTTTTGCACTAGCACCGGATTGCATCCACAATCTCCTAAAGCGAAATATCGATCTAGCTCGGACTAATCTCTCTATTCTGGAGAAGTTCATTGATGCTCATCGCTGGGCGTGTGAATGGGTTAAGCCGCAAGCCGGTAGTACTGCATTTGTGCGTTTTAACAAGATGGGAAAACCCGTAGACGATGTCGCTTTCTGCGAGATGCTTCAGGAACGGACCGGTGTGATGCTCGTGCCGGGAAGCCTTTGTTTTGGACTCGGAGAAGATTTCAAGGGTTATGTTCGCATTGGGTATGTCAATGAAACCAAGGTACTGGAGCAGGGCTTGGATGCATTGGGCAAGTTCATGGAAGATGAGTATGAGGATGTCCCAGTGAAGAGGCCCTTGAAAAAGTGATCCACTTTCTTATTATTGATATATGCCAAATGTGTCTTAGGTAGAAGCCGTTTTAGCTGAAATTAGTTAAAATAGGCATGTAGATCCAGGCGCTAAGAACAAGTGAGGTTACTATCGGAGTGAAGAAAGTGCGGGGTGGCGATCCCTCTAAATGAGTCGACCCATGTGAAGGTATACCATGTGAAGGTATAGATTGTTAGAATTACATAGAATATGTAGCTTCTAACTGCTATGGTTTTATAGTTGGAAAGAAAAACTGTACGTTAATTCCTTGTCGTGTACGGAGGACGCGTTCCAAGGTTGCATGTCATCAGGGGATCGGCACGCCCGTGCCGAGGCACATTTCGCTCTTTTTCCACTCTTTCACGGATCTCACAGGAACCTTTGTTGCTTTTGAGTAATTTACTAGCCAGAAAACCCGAGGTATCAACCAAGGGGCTCCTATCGCACGCTCCTTGTTCTTTCTCCCTAACCCACACCCAAAGCTGTGATACAAGCGGTCGCATCCTCTACACAAATATTATACTTTGATCCTACTCCGTTGGGTTTGGTCCTCGAGCCTTCTTGATCATAATGCCGCTACCATCTCTGCCCAGTAGGTTCTGACGTACGACGGGACTAGATACATGGCTAACAAGCTGTCTCTTTGCGCAGATATCCCCTTAAGTGTTGCACTCCCTGCTGTGGGAACCACACTTGCATATCTCAACGCGAGATGGGCAGTCTCCTACGATTTGAGTCTCCTCAAGGGGATGTTGAAGATGTCCGTAAAGTCTCGCGTCGCCGAACGTGGCGACCGCTTGAACCTCTTCTACGTACTGGAAGCCCATGCACTCGATCCTAAAAGTGCAGACAACGATTTTATTGTGTACAATGGACAAACAACGACCTTCCACGAAGCCTACATAATGGTTCTTCGCTACGGAGCGTGGTTCAAGAACGTCCACGGCATCAAGCGCAAGGAGATCGTCGCGCTCGACTTCATGAACTCTTCCACCTTCATCTTCATGCTGCTGGGACTATGGAGTATTGGAGCAGTTCCTGCGTTTATCAACTACAACTTGTCTGGCAAGCCGCTCACCCACTCTATTCGAACCTCCACCGCGAAGCTCTTGGTGGTTGATGAAGAAGTTCGCCACTGTTTCCCGGCGGAGCAGGAGAAGATTTTGACATCCCCGGACTTCCGTGATGGCAAGGGACCGGTTGAGATCGTGTTTCATACCCCGGAGGTGGAAGCGCAGATTTTGGGGATGGAGCCTACGCGGGAGGATGACAAGGTCCGCAGTGGCTTGATCCCTCGCGATATGGCCATCTTGATTTACACAAGTGGCACCACCGGGCTTCCCAAACCCGCTATTGTCAGTTGGAAGAAGTGCTGGTCTGGTAGTTTGTTCGTTAAAAATTGGTTGAATATTTCTTCCTCTGACAGATTCTTCACGGTAAGCTCTACCCTTTACAAATATTACTGTCCAAGCTAACCCCTTGACTAGTGCATGCCTCTCTACCATAGTTCGGCTGCGGTGCTTGGGTTTATAACCTGCTTGATGGGTGGATCCACCCTGATTATTGGCCGCCGGTTCTCTGCGCGCAACTTCATCAAGGAGGCTCGCGAGAACGATGCGACAATTATCCAATATGTGGGCGAGACACTACGTTATCTATTGGGCGTAGCGCCTGAAATTGACCCGATTACCGGCGAGGACCTTGACAAGAAGCACAATATCCGTCTGGCGTTTGGAAATGGACTGCGCCCCGATATCTGGAACCGCTTCAAAGAGCGCTTTAACATCCCCACAATCGCCGAGTTCTACGCCGCTACCGAAGGTACCGCAGGCGCATGGAACGTTTCGTCGAACGACTTCTCAGCGGGTGCTATCGGACGAAACGGTGCTTTGGGAAACATTATCCTTGGTCGTGGCTCTGCCATTGTGGATGTTGATCACGAGACCGAGGAACCGTGGCGTGACCCCAAGACTGGTCTCTGCAAGAATGTCCCCCGGGGTGATCCCGGTGAGTTACTATTCGCCATCGATGCAGCGGATCCCACTGCCAACTTCCAGGGCTATTTCGGAAACAAGAAGGCGACAGAAGGCAAGATTATCCGCGATGTGCTCAAGAAGGGCGATGCCTATTTCCGGACTGGTGACATGGTTCGATGGGACAAAGACGGCCGGTGGTTCTTCTCGGACCGACTAGGTGATACATTCCGGTGGAAGAGTGAGAACGTATCTACCAGCGAGGTCTCCGAGGTTCTGGGCGCTCATCCTGAAGTGCACGAAGCCAATGTTTACGGCGTGTCTCTTCCCAACCATGATGGCCGCGCCGGATGTGCAGCCATCCTCTTCAACCAGCAGATAGCAGGCGGAAGCACCTCTGATTCCGCACTAGAGCCCTCGCGCGAGGTGCTCGATACTCTGGCTGCACACACTCTTCAGAACTTGCCCCGGTTTGCAGCTCCGCTGTTTTTGCGTGTCACGCCTGTGACGCAGTCGACCGGTAACAATAAGCAACAGAAGCATGTTCTCCGTAATGAGGGCGTGGATCCAGCTCTTGTGTCGAAGAAGGATCGACTGTACTGGCTCCAGGGTAATACGTATGTCCCCTTTGGACAGAGGGATTGGGAACGGTTGACTGGTGGTCAGGTTCGACTTTGATTGATCTGCTTTCCTTGGACTCATCTCGGTTTCCTGTGTCTTCTTTGCCTATTATATGTTCATCCCTTTTCGGTCCTATGACCTTATCCCTACGCTTCTGCACCTTAAGATACCCTCGGCAGCCTCAATTCAACCATTTATACACGTCCATTGGGGCTGGTCTAACATCACTACAGTGAAGTTTACACCACACGTAGGACATATTATAGACACTTGTATGGAGTTGACAGGTAGTGCAATTTCCTGCTGTTCCCTGGTCTCACCTAGGCAGCTAGTAAACCATGACGTGGATACCTAGAAAATCGCTGGTTATCCATTGAACAGTCGTCTGTACGGTTTATGCTTTATACACATCGTAGAGTTTATTATCCTTAGTGGCAGCTATATAACTGATGACCATCTGTGAAAACTGTCCCTAGCTGCGAAGAACCAAGGGGCCGCGTTGTTAGGTTGCTTTTTCTTTCCCGTTGTGGATATTTTGAAGTTATTCATACTTTTGACCCATCGCCCCCACAACCCCCCACTTCCCACAACTTTACTCCTTTCAAGCTTTGCTCTGATGTCTTGAAATGTAGAATTAATTAATTTTTTGTTTCAATTATTAATTACAAATTTCCTTCATGCTCTCTCCTCAGACCTTGTCGTACTTGGAAAAACCGTTAAAGGTATCCAAAGGCGAATCAGCCTCGACAATATCCCACACCTGATCAATCTGCGCTGCAATTTCCGCGCCGAGAGGACCCTTGCTCAATGCAGCAAGCGTCTGATTGAGTTGCTCAACATTCCGCGAGCCAATAATCACAGCATCTCCAAATTCTGCTTTGAGGGCAGAGTTATGCATCACCCACCGGTATGCTAGCTCAGCCTTGGAGATACCAGCCTCCTTGGAGATCTTATCCCATTGTCCTAAGCCCTTCAGCATGTGGGGCTTATTGAAAAGCGCATTATAGACTCCACCAAGAGGTGTCTTGGGATCCCATCGACCCTCACCGCCGGAGACCAGCGTCGCAACATCCTTAGTCAGAAATCCTCCGGCGATCGGCGAATAAGCGTAGAAGGCGATGTTGTGCTTCCGCAGCGTGGGAAGGACTTCTTTTTCTCCTCGGCGTGCAACAGCAGAATAGTTGCCCTGGTAGACACTTGGCACAACGTAACCCTTTTCGCGGCAGATGCGGACTACCTCTTCGACTTCTTCGGCCAGATAGTTGGACAGTCCAAATCGCTTGAACTTCCCTGCCTTGTGCGCAGAGTCAATACCAGCCAGCAGATCTTCCGTTGAGCTTCTACGCTCGGGGGCATGCATGTAGTAGATATCGAGCTAGAAATGGGTATTAGAGATTTGGGTACAGTCTCAGATTATGGGACGCTCACCTGGTCGGTTTGGAGAAGGGCCAAACTCTGGTTCAAAGTTGCAATAAAGGACTCTGCGGTGGAAGGCTCAGCTCCAAATCCGCCGGGATATTTTGAATCAATGGTAAAGCGGGACTCGGCATGAAGTTTTCCCAATAACGCCTCGGAGTTGTTGTAGAATTTGGCGGTATCAATGTGGTTGATGCCATTGGCCTGCAGAATGTCGAGGACCTCGTTGATAGATTCGAGAGTCGGATATGCAACTTCGTCCATGACCGAGGCCCCGCCCCAGATGATTTCAATGTCAGGCATGGTAGATGGTGGATGGTAAACGGTTGTAGGATGGTAAATGTAAATATGAATTGGAAGTAACACGGGTGTTTATGTACATTTTCGTTCAATTCCCTTATCTTTGAGCTTGATAATCAAAAGGTTTATAATCAACCTTGGAACTTTCGAATGCATGGGGACCCTTGCACATGTGGGATATCGTCATCACCTGGGTAGCCAATTATTAATCAGCCTAACACACCGCAACCGGGCATTTTCAGGGGAGGTTTACTTCTAGAGCCACTTAGGGTCACTTAGTGCTATATCCATTTTCAACTCGGAGTTCCGGTTATTCACTTTTACATTATTCAGGAACCCCAATCAAAATACTCTCTGCTCAAATAGCATGGACATAAAAAAAGAGAATCCAATGGCCTTCTAGGTCTATACGGTCATCCAGGCCGAGTATAAAGCCGACTTGGAAGCCGATTTTGGAAGCAAATCGGCTTCCCCGCATGTATTTGAAGATCCCCACTGCATTTCCCATTCGCCATTCTCCATTTTCATTTTTACTTCTGTTTTTACGACGCTCTCAAAATCACTATGTCTTCTAGTTTGTCATTACTCGCACATCTTCGCCCGCACGTACGGGCGCGAGTCCGACCGAGCACAATTCGCAGTTTCTCCATCTCCCAGCATCACCACTCAGATGCTTCCTCGGTAGCCGAGGCCTTCCTGTCGCGCTTCCAATCCCTGGGGCCACAAACCCGTATGCAAACGATAGATGCAAACCAGCTCCAGCTTCTCACCCTCACACTCAATCGCCCGACCCTCTTCCCTGGCGCCCCCTCCCTATCCAATGGCGCTCCCGCCCCGCAATCCGCAGTACCCGTGCCGCCGGGCTATCACCTCGCGTATTTCACGCCCGCGTTCATGGAAAGTGAACTTGGGTCAGATGGAACCGATGCGTCGTACAATCCAGACGTGCCCTTCACACGGCGCATGTGGGCAGGCGGCGAGGTGCTGTGGCCCCGTTTGGATGGGAAACCCAATCCGTTGCGGGTAGGACAGGATGTGGTGGAGACAACGCGGGTACTTAGTGCACAGTCCAAAGTTGTGAAAAAGACGGGCGAGGACATGATTGTTGTTGGGGTTGAGAAAGAATTCGCCAACGAGCACGGCGTGTCAATTATTGACCGACGGTCCGGCTTTCCTTTTCAAGAATATCCAAACCAAAAGTACTGACAACGTTCGTATAGCAACTGGGTCTTCCGTAAAGCTCTACCTGTTCCAACTGCCTCGACGCCATCTAGCACCCCTCCCTCGTCTTCCACATCCCATATTGCGACCCCAAATCCTACCTCCTTCATTTCCACCGAGGGAAACACCCATACACGAACCCTGATGCAAACACCCGTGACACTCTTCCGCTTCTCTGCTCTGACTTTCAACCCTCATAAGATTCACTACTCACTGCCGTGGGCGCGGGATGTAGAAGGACACAAGGATATTGTAGTACATGGTCCGTTGAATTTGATCTCCATTCTAGATCTTTGGCGTGACACTCGCCAGAATTTCAAGGATTCTACCTTGATTATTCCCGAGCGCATCACTTATCGGGCAACGAGTCCATTATATGCCGGGGAAGAGTATCGGATTGTACTCGAGGAGGGCGAGAGCACAAAGGTGGAGATTATTGGGCCCGGAGAAGTAGTCGCCATGAAGGCCGAGATCCAATAAATATGAACTGTACAAATAAACAAACAAACAAACATATGTGAAGCTGTGGCGATTACAGTCTGTGAGGGCTCTGATAGACTCGCTGTAAATAAAGCTCTGTCCACGGGTGCGAGTAGATCCCCCCGGCTTGGGAGTCCACTTTTTCCTTGGACATGAGCATGATCGAGCTCGACTCTAGTCCAAGACCGCTTGCACCACCCATCTAGAGAATCGAGTGATGTCTCTTGCACAGAAGTAGTGGCCTGATCTAGATATCGATTTTAATGTGATACTAGAGCACCGGGACGCTTATGCGATACGTACAGAGGCCTGGACCGAGGCCGGCGGTCAGCTGTACGCAGAGCGATTCTTCCTCGACTTTTTTCAAATTTACGTTCTGCTTTTGGCAATGATTCGTTGCCTTGAGATGTGTTAGGATGTAGATCGTGGTAATTCTGCACGCCTCGGAGCCCCAAAACGAGCAAACTTCTTGCTTCTGGATATAAACAATAAAAATTGAATGCTATGAGTGCCATGCTCAAACGAGTGAAGAAAGATGACTTTCAATTCCAGTTTGACTTCTAGGCAAGCAAGAACGCCCATGGAGAGTAAGTCTAAGCTTCCTCTTCACAAGCTCGCGTTGACAAGGGCTCCTAGATGTCTCAACCCAACCCATCGGTCTATCTATCTTTGATCAACAATGCTCAACATACACATCCAATGTTGGCAAGTTGCAATTGGCAATACCCTACCCCGGCCAGACGCCGTCATACAGCCCCCTAGGTGTCATTGGCGACATGCTTGATATATCCACCCAATTTGACTAGGTGCCCCAAATATGCATAGTACAACATTGGCTAGTCCTTGATTTCCTACCTAGGTAGAACCTGTCACATCTTAGGTGTTGAAATGGCTGCCAATAGCAACAACTGGTACTCAATGGTCCAGTGATTCCAGCGTATGAGTTTGGTGCGCATCTTTCTGCCGTATCGCCAATGGATCATCAGAGCTACTGGCAATGACGATGGTGAACTTTATCTATATCTTATGAGCATACTTGTACATCGTTGATCATTTGAAAATACTATGCACCAAAGCGCTTACAATATTAAAAACCACCCATATTGCCATTACCTACGTCAATGAAGCTATTGGTTTATTACAGTAAAGAAAACAGTCTACGAAGTACAAAATCCAGAGTATGCACCCGGGCACTAAATTATGCCGGGGCGGCTGCAGATCCCGATCCGCGGAACCGGAGCTTTTTTCTTGTCTGCCAGGAACCACCACACTGAAAGAACCAACCTGTGTATATATTTCTTATATCCTCCTCAATGCGACCATTCCGTACCCTGCGACTTCCAAGTCGCGCAACTCTACCCTCCCAGCGCCAGAATGTGCTCCCAGTCTCCCACCAACCCAACACAAACACGAGGACAATAAACACAACACAACGACCAAGTCTGTGCCGACCTCTACTCCCAACCAATGGCACCAAAACCACCACACGAGCATTCGGCCTGCCCGACCTATCCTCCTTCCTCCCAAACAGCAACAATAACAACAACTCCCCACACCGCGTCCTAACGGCCACTCGCACCCTCCCCTACAACCCAACCCTGCTATACAAAGTGATCTCCTCAGTCGAGGCCTACAGCCAATTCCTCCCCTTCCTCACCGCGTCTACTGTGACAGCCCGCGATCCGGAAACGGGGTACCCAACACAAGCGTTTCTGACAGTCGGCTACGGCCCGCTCAGCGAGACGTTCACCTCGCGCGTGATCTGCGACGTAGAGAAGCTGACTGTGGAGGCCAATAGCGGGGCAAAATATGGTAAAGAGAGGCAGGATAGCCAGGCTAGTAAGAGCTCTTCTTCGTCTGGGCTAAGCGGGTTCTTCCCCGGTGCGACTGAGGGCCTGTTCGAGTACCTGACCACGAAGTGGGAGCTGGTGCCGCTTTCGCCTGGGGCGCAGGGTCGGCCGTTGACTAAGGTTAATTTGGAGGTGCGATTTGAGTTTCGTTCGCAGATGCATGCTACTCTTATGAGTGCTGTTGAGGGGCAGATGGCTGGGGTTATGATTGAGGCTTTTGAGAAGCGGATGCGGGAAGTTGAGGGTAAAGGGCAGTGATAGAGTGTGAATTGTAGATTGGGTTGTATATTAGTGGAGTTTTTGGTATTTGGGCATAAATTGCATGTTTGACACTACATAAGACTACTTGTTAGACTTGCATCTCCTCGACTCTTGACAGCAGAATGGAAATATAGAGCATCGCCAATTTGATTCTATTGGATGGATTGCTGTACATGCTCAATCAGAAGCCTGTGAGAATGAGCAATGGAGACCAAAAAAAAAATAAAACATGATAGTATATAATACAGATTATCCAGACACAGAAATGATTTTCAACTTAAAGCATGCTCATACTCCGATGACGGTTGATGGAGTTGCGCGAGCTCTTCATCGAACCAACAGCATTGTAGTTGTCGAAGACAACATCCCAGTTAATCCGATCCCACCAGCGCTCCAGGTACTCGTCCTTTCCGGCAATGCCGTAGTCCATCATCCACGCGTGCTCCCAGGTGTTAACACAGAGAATGGGCTGCACATCGACGGCGCCGGGCGCGAGGCTCTTCTGATTCTGGGCGTGGGCGCCCATCGAACCGGCGAACTGGTTGCCCAGCTGGGTCTCCGGGGTGTGGGTGGACATGTCGACGGGTTGCCGCCGGGAGTGGGCGGCAGGGTAGGGCGAGCCGGCGCTGTAGGTGCAGAAGATGTGCATCATGCCTTCGCGCTCGAGGTTCTTGGCGAGCCACACGAATCCGGGGCCGAACATTGAGCTGGCGGTGGCCAGGAAATCCATCTTCAGGGACTCGACGGAGGAGCAGGTGTCAACGATATCCTTGGCGAACTTCTCGGGGATGGTGGTGGCTGTGGGGGACTGTATTGAGCAGGCTGGTTAGAATTGAATGCCATGTGCGAAGGGATTAGTTTCGTTGCTAACCAAGCAGTTGAAGAAAAAGTGGTTGTTGTGGGCCATTGAGGCATAGTTGAACACCGAGGCCATCTCCGGACGCTTAGAGTATTTGACCAGCAATTCTCCTGGTTTGGCATCTGCGTCGACGGTATCTATTGAATTCGAATGTCAGACCCGTCTTCCAATGTGCCATATCGCTCAATCAACCGATTGGGGCCGGATTGGACCAATGCGTTGTTCCACAGGGTCGGAGTGCCGGGCTCACCTTGTGTCAACAGATTGAGCTTGTTAACGAGCAGACTCTGGTATTGGGTCCAGGAGAAGTCGAACGCTTCGGGTGAGAGGAACTCCGGGACACCATTCTCCTTATAGTAGGCATCGTGCTGCAATTGGGGAATGCGATGGATAGCCCGAGTCTGGAAGCGTGAGAAGGCGGAGGTAGGTTTCTGGACAAAACACGGTCAGTCAAGACGGATTGGGCAGCGAGGACGGGAGTCTCACGGGGGAGAAAGAGGAGGCTGCGCGCAAAGCGCTTTGCGGCCTGGCGAATCGGCTGAACATGACGAGCGGCTCTGTGAATGGTCGGGTTAATCGTACAGAGCTTCGACGTCGAAGAATTTCCCTCCCGACGTTCTGCCCGATCGGGACTAGTATGGTTATGTAAGACCCCTGTCCCAACAGCCAATCAAATCGTCCAAATCTACTTCATCTCTAAGCGCCTTGTACTCTTCTGCACACTTTGGTCTTCATCCAATCCTCGTTCTGCAAGCCCCTATTTTAATGTGGCTCTGTAACAAAAAAGCGCCTGTAATGTTACCATTTTTATCATGTTGCTCACCCTGAAACAGCCCGGTGGCTATTTTAGGACCGCGGCGCGTGCAAGTACTCTTTGTCTACAAGACTTAGAGGATGGCGGTGCCCAGGTTCCTTTTAATAATGACATATTTTGGATTTTTGGCTGGTTTTTGGTTTCAGAAATCAGTCAATGCCCTTGTCTGTTAGCCATCTGTTAGCTATTTGCAATCTACCTCTGTCAAGGTTCCCTCCAGTGTTAGTCTTTCTACTTACGACTACACTTGCGTTATACGTGAAGATACTGTCAAGGGCACTATCAGTCTATATTCTTCGGCAAAGCTATTCTGGATTTGATACTCGGAGACATCTCTCTCTTTCTCGGCCGACACACGCACCATCAGTATGACGAGATCAACTGTGGTACGGCCATCCGTCCTGCTGCTCTTGACTCTGCTGGCCAGCATCCGACCAGTACAAGCATCTAACTCTTTTGATCTGCTGTCAAGAAGCTCAGATACGTGTCCCACCTCATACACTCGCTGCGGCAGTACAAAAGCCTCAAATGATTTCTGCTGTCCTTCAGACTCCACCTGCATCAGTCTAGACCAGGGCAGCTCCTCTATTTGCTGTCCCGCCGGCAAAGACTGTAACTACATCTCGCCTATTACGTGTGATATAAAGCAGCAGGATGTCACCCTCTACCCCGAAAGTGTCATCAAAACCACCCGTCTAGGCGACAGCCTCCCCAAATGCGGCGATGCGTGCTGTCCGTTTGGCTACACCTGCGAAGGCGGCAACACTTGCTCCTTGAACCAAAAAACCTCCACAACGGGAACAGCGCTAGTATCCTCCTCCTCTACCAATGTAGTATCGTCATCGACAACAGCTACAACATCTGTATCCAGCTCTTCTACCAACGCAGCATCATTATCCACAACGGCCACAAGCTCAACAGCCCCCCAGTCAACCATCACACCCGTACCATCTCCCTCATCCGAAAAGTCCGCAAACTCCACGGCATGCGCAGAACTACCAACCGCATGCCCTTCCTTTCCACCTGGAGCCATAGCAGCAGGCTTCTTCCCCGGTGCCGTCCTCGGTGCTGTCGCCGCCCTTTTAATATCTCTCTGTTTCCGACGTGCCCGAAAAGACCAATGTGAAATACAAGAAGGCAAATCCGGACCTAACTGGTCCCAGCGCTCTTCTTCCGGAGCAATCTTGTGCATATCAAACCCCATACCCCAAGACGATACCTCGTACCGCACAGACTTCCTCCGAAGCCCACCGCGAGTCAAGCGCTCTTCTACAGGAGGACGCTCCACTCGCACAATGATTCACCGCACTGGCACCAGAGTGCGAAGTCTATTCTCCGGTTATCCAAGAGGAAACCCCCGACTAGACAAGGATGTGCCGCCTATTCCTATGCCAATCCCTATGCCACCCGCTCCATTTACTCCGCCACGGCAGCGTCAGCCGAGTACGGAAAGCATCAAGGTATATTCACCGCCTGAGTCGTCGTTCTCGCAATCTCGTACTTTCTTGGAGCCTGAGCGGTACCCTGGTATTGCTGCTAGGCCGAATACTACGTTTAGCGGCCTGATGCGGGTTGTTGGGGATCCTCATGATGGTAAGGAGAATACACCTTATCCGACTCATGATGATTCTCGAGAAAATCCGTTCCGGGATCCTGGACGTTGATAATTGAGGGATGTGGTTGGGTTGAGTTGTGCGTTCGGTCGCCTTGGTTTTGACATTTGGTTGTTCTGGCATATTGATCGTGTACCATGATATCCATATTTGCATTGTTTTTTCACTTTGTTTCGAAGGTTTGGTTTCACCTATGTAAATACCTGATTAATTCTCCATCTAATTCAAACCCTGTGTACCGTCTCATATGCAAAGTAAATCTACTGGATATATGTCTAGAAAGGGGAGTCATATCTTCAAGACACCCATAGATAGACCTAGCATCAGAAGGAATAATAGTTGCAATGTGTGTGTATATAACTCCTGGAATACATAAATGTCGAGTGGCTGTATTACTCTACGGTGCTGTCCCCTTCGCCTTGCGTCGAGCGGCAATTCTCTTGAGCTCTTTGAGCAAACTAACAACAAGAGGGACACCAATTGGGCCCAGAAGGGGTAGATAAACAGCCACCTTATGCTCATCTGGGAAATAGACCTGACCCACCATACTCTTTTCGAAGAAGCTGCGCTCGGCTTCTGTCTCTGCGACTCGGGCGCTGGCAAGCGCAGCGCCGAAACGACCCTCTCGCAGGTGGGCACAGGAGGCAGCCAAATGAGAGAGTGTGGTGGAGACCGAAGTAGCCACCGTTGCCGGGATAGGGATGGAGGGTAAAGACTCAGTAAGACGGGCAAGCGAGCCCATTGTTGATGAGGCGGAGAGCAACAAAGTGGCCGCGCGAATGCGAATAGATGTCTGGAGACGGAGTGGAAGGGAGGCAGGGGTACTTGGAGTGCCGAGGAGGGTGAGGAGTTGATGAGAGAATGTCATGAATGCAGGACCTAAAGAATCCCGGGAGAGATGGGAAGGATTGGCCAGGCCACCCTGCTCGGTATTGGAAAGGGGTGGGTTAAGGAGGAAAACTCCTCCCCATTGGGGAACCATCCAACTAGAAGCACGGTTCTCCTTGACAATGAGTGGAGACTGTGAGGGGTCTGGGACATAGAGAATGAAATTGATCGTCGGGCCATTGCCGATGCTCGGGTTCAGCGGCCACTCGGCAGCATTGACGAAGGCGCTTAGATCTTCTTTCTTCAAAGTCCATGCCGCCTCGGATTCATCATACTCAGGCTTCGGTGCAGTGGGTGCAAAGTTGGCATAGAGCTGTACTTGCGTGTCGACAGTGAAATTGCTGATAGGAGACAATGCCTGTAGGAGTGGGGAGACATATTCCTCCACCGCGGCCTCAATGTCCCACGAGGAAGGTTCGGATTTGGGGGTGAACAGTGAAAATGAGAGGTGGTAGGTTTCAGCATATTTCATCGATCGGCGCAGTCTTCGGTCGATATCTTCAGCGAGCTGTGGTGACGTCGAGTCAAGCCCAGCGGTATTTCCAGACAATATGTGCGCTATAGTAGCCTTCTCCTCGCCATACAATCGCTGCAGCTCCGCCGCAATAAAAGTGGAAAGGGGGGAGTTGGAGGACGAAGGTACGGGGACCTGGCTCGGCGGGTAGAAGATATCGAGCTGCGTCGCAGCTGCATGGAGCTCTGACCAAGGGCTTGCTAGGCCATCCCGGGGCAGTAATCGGACGGTCAATGCAGTATCCGCTGTCTCCTCCGCAGGGGTTTGGACAATGTCTAATTTGTCGTCGCCATTAACTGCCGTCGTGCTGCCGTTGGTCAACTTAAGTCGAAGGTGATGGGCTGCGAACTCGTTGAGGTCATCGAGAGTATGTTGTGTCGTCCGGAGGAGGTGCTGGGCCTCAAAATATTGCATTGAAGGTGTCGCCAGGTGAATGTCCAAAGGGAAGACTGGTCGGCACGCCTGTCAAGACCATTATTAGCATCTACCAAGTCCCCCAAACCAAAAGCGATTCCGCAAGCCGTACCTTGCCATCAGCCCAATCCACCATCTCCTCGATGGGGAGGGACGCCCGGTAGATCGATGTTGTCTTCCACCATATCGGAAATCCAAGGAATATAATTACGGCCCAAAAGGCTGCTATTACTCGAAATCGCGTTTGGAGAGCGGCCGGTGTTTCTGGGGGCGGAGCGCGCTGGACACTGGGTTGGTCGACTTGAGAGGCCGAAGCCTGAGGAGACTCCTGGTCTCCTGTTTTGGTCGTCATAGTCGGGACATGCTTTGTGCTCTAAATCAGAGCATCAAAGGAGTAAGTGTTTTTATGTTGATTGTTAACATGGGGGAAGTTGATAGCCGGGCGGAGAAGCCAGGGACCACCTAGGCCGCATTGGAGCGGCATAAAGTATACGCGGCATTGAGTTCGATACATATTCTTTGATCTGAAATAGTTTCATTATGTCTTATTTAATTGCTTTAGACATGCTTTATTTGCAGCTTACAGCTCGGTCCGGACTTTGCATCCAATTCGGCTTTTTTGAAAGAGAGACCATAAAAGGCCCAGTATATCATTATTGACTCGGAGTGCTTTGAAATCACAAAAAAAAACAAGGGTATATTGACCAGTAACGCCGATCCGATGTAGCAGTCAAAAGGCCAGGCCTTCGCCGCTGTACCGCCACATGCAATGTCTAGTATTCCTTCTCAAAGATCCTTTGAATAGGCTTAGCAGCCTAGATATCATAAAATTTATTAGCAACCCCATCAATAGCAGAGCAAAACAAGCGGAATAACATACATCAATGAACTTTTCGAGATCTTGGTCGAGGTTGGCGAGGTCGTTCTTCCTTTTCTTGTTCTCTGCGATCAAGCCTTGCTTGCGCTTCAGAAGCTCTTGCCGCGCTTGTTCCAGCTTCTCTCGTTCAGCATGCTCGTGTTCGATGCGAGCGATCATGAGGTCATGCTCGCTGGATTCGCGATGTTCGGGGTGAAGCTCCAAGAATTCTCCGACCGGGATCAAAGGGAGGGATAGGTATTTGTGACTGTTACAGTAGATGTCAGTTGCCCACCAAGAGAAAATGAGAGCGTCATGGGCGAGAAATCAGTTCACGTACTCGTAGGCCTCACAAGCCGCAATTTCGCCTGTCAGATGCTTCTGTTCATAGTATAAATTTTGGAGCTGAAGATGGAGCCGGTCGATTTCTTGTCGAGCCTCTGCAGTTGATTGCTTGGTATCGCGCACGCGAAAAATGGCATCCCGATTCTGGCCACGGAGTTGGGCCAATAGTGCGAATAGAAGTTTCTGTTGCTTAGATGCCGCTAAGGATAATTCTCGGAGCTTAGCGCCGTCGTTGGGCAGGGTATCGGGGTTTAATATGGTGAGGAGGTGTTGACACTGGACCAGAGTCTCTGCGCTGGTTTGAAGCACTGGTAAGAGCGACTCATCGGCGACTATTTCACTAATAGCCATATTGTAAATTAAAAGATCTAAAGATCGATGATGGGTGGCGAAAGATAAAGCGGAAAAGAAATTAAGACGTTGAGGCGGATGGATCAATTGGCGGTAATGTCGGGGATTTTGTGTGGTTGGGGTCCTCTTGGCCCTTTTTTTTCCCCAGCGCCCCCAATTTAACCGTCCATTCCTCATTCCCCTCTTTTTTTAAATCCTTTCTTGCTTTAATGTGCCCCTCATTCCTTGTTTAAAGATCTTCTGGCTTTGTTTCGAGTCCTTCTACACAGTCCTTCTACGCAGTCCTTCTACGCCTCCCGGTACCTATCCGCCCTTGCCTCTCAACGCTTATCACCCTTCCACTATATGGCATTCCACTGAGGACGGGTGAACTCTCAACTACACCCCATGGCTTGCGGCGCTTCTACAATGGCGGTGGATACATATCCCGAAACAGAGGCATTTGCCTCTGCTATTGCGATTCCGGCCGAGGATACTGGTATTCTTCGTGATCGGCGCAGACATTCGTTCCACTCTTCTAGGAAACTCTCGTGTGACTATCAGGATGCGGATGCAGTCTTTATTAGGGTATGCACATTCATTATTGGTGGAAAATATGTCCGAGCAACAGTTCTAACTAAGTTCCAGGTCGAACTCTTCTTGGCCGAATTGGAACGTCGAATGCAATGGATCGAGCAATATCGGAAATCCCATATGGTGCAGGTCGACGCTAGTCTGAAACGAGGCTATGCCACGCTAGAGGCCGTGAGGGATCAATGCTCCCTCGCCTCGGGGGAGTTGATGGGAAGTGGCAAAAAGCGAGCCAAGATTTTGGTCGAAACCCTCGAGGATGGATACAACGAAGCTCTGGTGACCAAGGAGACTCTGGAGCAAAAGGCACAAGCTGGTGTGCGGTTAATGGAGTCATTCTTGGTCGAACTTGAGAACAAAGTGCATGCGGTTCGCGATCGCGGCATCTACGGCACTATCGATGACGGATGGAAAGCGATGGACTCGGGCTTGGTCCATGCCCGGGAAATCGTCGACGAGGGTATGGAGCGTGCCCGCCGGACTCGTGATACTCTCCGAGATACTGTTGAAGAAGCTATCCGACTAGCCCAAGAGAAGCGGTTGATTAACTACGATGAACTGCCTCATCCATGGCGCGTGAACCCGCACATCATCAATGGTTACCGATTCACCACTTCCAAGCTGGAATGTGTCTCGTCGGTCTTCACTTATTCCAATGAAATGTTCAACATCTGGTCCCATGTGATCGGCCTCGTCATCGTCCTAGCCATCGCCTTTTACTTCTACCCGCTTCACACCAATTTCCACCTGAGCTCCAAATCCGACATCACAATCGCTGCCGTTTTCTTCTTCGCTGCATGCAAATGTCTAGTCTGCAGCTGTATTTGGCATACTATGAACAGTATTGCTTCGCAGTCATTGATGGAACGATTCGCTTGTGTGGACTACACTGGAATCTCTATGCTGGTTGCTGCCTCGATTGTGACGACTGAATACACTGCTTTCTATTGCGAGCCCATCTCTCGCTGGACATACATTATGCTTACCATGTCGTTTGGCGTCGGTGGTGTCATTTTACCGTGGCACCCAACCTTCAATCGCCATGATATGGCTTGGGCCCGCGTGGGCTTCTATGTGACCCTTGCACTCACTGGTTTCTCACCCATCGCTCAGCTCTCTTACACACGTGGCTTCTCGTGGACCATGTATTTCTATGCACCGGTCGTGAAGAGCGTCATGGTCTATTTTGTCGGTGCTTGTGTCTACGCCTCCAAGATTCCTGAGCGCTGGAAGCCAGGTCTTTTCGATTACGTCGGTGGCAGCCACAATATCTGGCACGTGGCTGTTCTGGGCGGTATCCTTTTCCACTACCACGCCATGCAGGACTTGTTCGCAGGAGCCTTCCAACGAGCCCTGGGCGAGTGTCCGAATATGACTGTGTGAAAATACCTTTCAACATACACCCATAAATCTCACTGCATTGTTGATTGCTGTTTGTTTTGTTTTTTTTTTGCTCATGAACAAATCTCATGCGGTACATAGTTTCGCTTTTCAACATACCACGATTAGACGTTTAGGCTTGCAGCTTGCTGCAGCTCACGACTTGCTATGGTCCCTTGCAACGAAATTTTCTATCTCTTTTTCTACGGGAGCTTTGTCACCGTTGACGCCCATTTTGCCTGCATGGATGGAGTTCGTCTTGATTTCTATATCTTCTTCTTCAATTCTTAGAGCGCTGGCTTGTACATAACACCAGTGTCTCTCTTTTCCTCTTATTGGCGCCATTCCATCTGTCTAAATACAGGGTGTGCACACAAATTTTGGTTGTTCTGTATGTACTTTTGACACGTTTTCTACACCTCAGGAATCTACATCTTGTAGACTGCCTTTGTCGATATTTGGATAGAACAAACAAAGACCTTTGGTTCCCACTATTCCATTATTTTCCTTTCGTAAATCATCCCAAGTTTCTCCCGGGCCCTATACCATCAGTTGCACATCAACATGCTTAATTGCCCTTCCGAAATCTATAGACGGCATTGCTTATGGATATGGCATTCCCATGGTATATGGTTTGTATGAATAGGTGTAAGAGCTTCTACACCAGCATCTTGCAATGGTTTTCTATAAGGGAGGCATTGTTCCTTTGACTGTATGTGCAGATTAAATGACATGATCTAATGTGTGTGTCGTACATTCGTAACGCCATCATGAAGGCATTTCCCTATATAAACAGCAACCCAGACAATTCCCTCGTGGCTTTGAAGGTGCTAGCTCTCTGCCTTTTCCAATGGAAATGCCCAAACAGCATGGTATTTTGATCTCGGCGTGATGAGTATTTGAGAAGCACCTGAAAACACGGTGTTGGGCCCACGCATGGCGAAAAGCGCGAGATCAAAGTTGGACGGTGGGAAAGACTGTGACAGCCATACTTGTTGGTAGACAATAAATTTCCCGTATATGGCTGAGACTTTGATGAAGGTGTATGGCCATCCGAAATGACCATCGGACAACTGGTGGTTCAAGGGTTCAAGAGTTTATTGGGTGCTCTCGGTGGCAACCTCAGCCTCAGTCTCAGGTCCACCGCGCTTCCGGAAGTTACCCTGCATCCAACAGCGGTACATCTTTTGTTTGGTTCCACGGTTGACAATCAGTCGCCGGTCAGCTCCCATCGCAAGGACTTCGAATGCTCCATTGTCCTTTGCCAGTTGTTTGGCCTCTTCAGATAGCTCCTCTGCGGGCTGGGCCTCATCTGTCGTGGGGTTCTCATCACCAATGGGAATCTGCAGGCCGTTTTCTGCGCTCCAGGTACTCCACATATCAACGAGCTGGTCCTTGTCGAAGAAGTAAACGCGTGTGCCATCACCACGAATATAGAAATTCTCGGCCATGTATCGACCCTTCTTGAATCGCACTTGGGCAAGGTCACCACGGCCGTAATCGCGGAACAAGACACGGCCACCGGGCTTCAAGAGACGGTAGATATTGCGGATTGCATGGTCCCATTGGTTAGGGGCCAGAGCGGAGAAGATGAAAATTAAAATCACAACGTCAACTGAGCCTTCCGTCAGACCGGGCGGAAGAGAGTCGCCTTTCTCGCCAGGCACAGCAGATGCATCCCAAACATCAGCGGACATGTATTTCTCGTTGTAGAGCTCACTCTCGCGCATGACCTTCACAGCATACTTGGAAAAATCACAGGCATGGACCTTCAGGTGCTCATTCTCGTTGTTGGCCAGCAATGGGAAGGCGGTGTTTCCGGCTCCTGCGCCAACCTCCAAGACGACCTGGGGACCGGCGTCCTTCTGTGTCACATCAGCGAGAATGGGGAATTCCTGGCGCAGCCACTTTCGATCCTTGAAGAAGTTGGCTGTGTTGTTCTTATAGAAGAGGTCCCACCACTTGGCGGGGTCGTTGTTGAATCGGTTGCGATCAAAGTCCGACACGCGTGTTTCGCGCTGTCTCGCATATTGGGTCTCGGCGAAGGCCTTAAACTCGTCATCTGGCTCGACGTGGTCCCAAGCGTTGAACTCGAAAACATCATCGCCCTTTTCAAGGTATCTTGAGCCGAATTGGAAGGGGTCGGTCCGTTTCAGGTTGTTTGTGGGATCGTGGGAACGATGGGGTTCGACCTGACGAGGCTCGACATTCTGTGTCACTTCCTCAATATTGGGTTCGACGGTCATGGTGTTGGATGAACTTTATCGTTCTGAATGACTCAAGATTTGGAATTAGGTGTGGAAAGAAAAGATTATCGCTCAAGTAAATGATCGTCGAAGACAAGGCGGGGAGAACAAAAAAAATACAAGCAGCGACGCGATTGGTGGGGTACGTGGATCACATGATCATATTTTGCCCAGATACTTTCTTGCCCCTCGGTCCACCGAATGTCTTAACCAATCAGATGCTGTTCGTCTATACACCGCCTCATTTATCTTCCGATCTTATCGACTATCGTTTATCGCTTATCGGTTTTTCTATGTAGTCCACGGACACTTCAACAATCACAAGATGCTCACTCTACTGAGGGATCAATAGGATACATTCTGAGATCTAGTTCAATTCTAATTATGGATGTTGGCTCAAGCGCTCAACCAGTTGTGAAGGCTTCCCCTTGGGCTAGTAATGCAGAAAAACACGTCGAAGTCCACTATGAGACTCATCGAACTTTGTAGATACCCTTCATGATTTTATGTTTCTTTGTCAACCTCTAATGAACTACAGTAGGCCTCGCTTATTTTGACTCGCTTCTTCTAATCCAAAATTGACTCAGACCTAAGGGACGCTCAATAGTAAGTATCTCGGGAATATTTAGAGCTTGCGTATCACCTCATTCATCACGATGCTAATGCAGTAAAACAGCAAAACCCAGAACTGTCTGACTTACCATGCTTGATGTTGTTCCCTTAGCTGTCGGAGTGATCAAACAGGAAACCAATAGTATCGATCTATGCTTGTCATTGGCACAAATTGTGGTACCTGAAGATGTTCCTGTGCGAAAGCATACTTTCGGTGGGCTTTCTGTGGTATTCGAGAATATTTCTTCTATCCCGTACATTATTGTGACTCAGGCGAAAAAGATCCGCCATGTCTTGCATATGAGCTGGTACACTCACTACATGCATTAGTTAACAACCTTGAATAGATTTTAGTGCCTCAGGCATGCACGTAAGCTTAGTTATCGGGGCCAATTAGACTTTCTGGGAATCTGGATGCCTGCGGGTGCCTTGCCCGGGTCAGCTCTCATCTGGCCTTTCTTTCACCCCCTCATTTTCTTCTTTTCTTTCTCTGTGGCATATCTTTCTATAGATTCATATCTGATTCCAATTCTCCCTGTCTATCGGCTCAGGTGGGGTTTATCGACGCAAGTGGGGTTCAGCCCACTATCGCGTTTGAGGCTCAACAGCGAAGTGCTCATACGATAGTTCTTGTCCACAGCTTTTCTCGTTACTCACGGGCCAACTTTCTCTTTCTCTCGTTAGAGCCACTCTGCTATTGGCTTCGATACTGTCAATTAAAAGACAGCCACCTCATTAAGCCATGTCTTTCCTCTCGGGACTTTGCGGGTGCTTCACCCGAGAAGAGAAGCCCTCGGAATCCCGTTCATCCCCAGAGATGATGACCCAAAGATCCAACCCTAACAACATCCAGACAGGAAGCTTTACGCTCTCTGGAGAGGGGGAATTCTTTCGCTCGGCATCCCCCGGGGGCCATGGGCACGGACCCCCGCCCTCTGACTCGGAGGATGGGGGCTATTCCAGCGTGGTCCCTCTCCCGCAGTACACAGCCCGTCCAACGAGCCTCCACGAGAAGACTCTAGAATCCCATATGCGTGACCCATCTATTTCCTCTGAGTCCCAGAACTTCTACCCCCATGATGAAAAGAACTCCAATCGTTACGACGAAGATGTCACTTCCGATAGTTCATCGGCCATTTCCTTTCCAAGCAGCTACGGCAATACTTCAACCGCAACGAGGGATACTCCACCGCCGCCGTATTCCCCCCGTCACTCTGTAGCTTTGTGCCGCTCGCGGTCCATGTCTATATCATCCGCTATGGCGGTCATCATTAATCCGCCTCCCGCTGCCCGCATGAACGGCTCGCGGACTGGACCTACATACTCTGAGGATGACCGGTCCATACGTCGTCATCGGCGGGCCTCTTGGGAGAGCCGGTGATACAGCCTCGTTAAATCATTTGCGGAAAGAATGTTTGCTTGCTGCCCTTTGCTTATCAGCTACCTGTTTAATATTTCCCACCAAGATCTTTTGGTCTGGGCGAGCTGGAATCGTCTATTGTGGATTTACTTTCCTTTTTGCATCATTGCCGCGTTTCTCTCCTTTCTGCATTTCTTTTCTTTTTTTTTTTTTTGGTACTCTTTTATTGCACATGACGCGACGACATCATTCACGGAAACTAATTGAATGTTTACGACATGACTGGGAGTTGGTGCGGAAGGGGATTTCTTCTAGGATTCTCTTCTGGGATAGCTTTGGATACTTAATATTGACCTGCACATACCGGCCAGTCATGGATGCAGGAGGACACTGTATCGAGATCATCGATTACCTATACTCGCTCGCATCCTGGCAGGCATACATAGTGTAACAACTAAACTCGAATATATTAGACATTTTGTCGAATCAAATGCTCCAATTCTAATTTATTGCTACTAACCCTCGACAAAACAGACCTATACAGGCAACCAGCGAACAAAAAGGGTATAAATGCACTAAATCCAACATCAATCCAACTCAAGAACCCTAGCCCGTTCCTGCTCATGTCTAAGCAAATACCCACAACACGACGCCGGAAACTCCAACAAGTTCAAAACTAGCGGATCGCAACTATCCTCAAGAAACATACAGATAGCCGTGCACTCCGATCGAACTCTCATCTCAACCCACCACTCCTCAACATAACACATAAGTCCCAACCACCAAGCCAACAAAACAAGCGCAGCCGGCTCCTTCCTAAGCAAACACTCATAAAATGGATTCTCCAGCCTCCCCATCCAAGTATTATAAACCTGAAAACTACCCGTCGACCTCTCAAACGGCAACAACCCCATAAGCATCCGCAAAGGCCACAAATACGCATTTGACTCGACAGTCGTCTCATCATCAATCCCACAAAGATCCGCCAGATCCGGATCAAGACCCACACGACCAGGACGCTTATCTTCGAACTTCAGGGACGGATCACGCGACTCCATGAATACACTCCACCACATGCTCTGCGGGAGCCAGGGGATCGTACGCTCGATGAGATAGCGGAGGCCGGCCTGCAGGCGGAGCCAGGTTAGGGATGTTGGGTCTGTGGTGAAGACGAAGGAGGTGCGCGGGTTGAAGGTTTCTTGGAGGAAGGAGTGCATGCTGATCATCATGCAGGCCGAGTAGAGCTTGTCCATGTTCTGGCGGGTAATTGTTTTGGAGACTTCGGTCGAGTATTGGTTTATTGTTTGTTGCCAGTGGTAGGCTTCTGCTAGGCGGTAGTCTTTGTTGTCTGGGAGGAGAGTGCAGAGGTGAGTTGTTGCGGCTGCTATTATGGCGTGCATGAGGAAGGGGGTCTGGGGTTGGTTGGGGGTTAGTTTGAAGTTGTATTAGGTAGGTTATAGGGCTGTGTTTTGGTGGGGTATGGCGATGGCGGGTATAAGGAAGGGGTAGATAAACTATGAATAGGCTTACTTCGAAGGCAAGTTCAACCATTTTGCCCATTACTATTCGAAGAGGTGTTTGGCGTTCAGTTGCAAAGGCTGGGCCTTTGTGGAAATGATGCAATGCTTCCATAGTGCGGGTTGATATTATGGCATCTGTGAGTAATCTCGGCAGCTTGGTATCGGTAGCAGGGGGTGGTTGCAGCAATTCTTTTAGCTTGTCCGTGATTATCCTTGGAGACATTGAAGAAGCTTGAAAATCAATCGATGTCAGCTCAGGGTTGGTCTTAATGAATTTGGAAACGATGTTATTGGTCTTTTGAGGTCGAGCTGGCTGGCTCGAGTAGTCACACTCGACACCATGTTTTTGGCATCGAAGACAATGCGGCTTTGCTTCATCGCACTTCACTCATTATCAGCCGACGAATGATACTGGGGGCGTCCGAAGTACCTTGATTCTTCGCTGCTTACAGTTCACACAGCCGGCGCGGGATTTCCGATGAGACCGGCGGGAATGATAGACCTGTGCAGACTGCTCGGACCCACACGCAAGGGGATCCTCTGGTTTGTAGTTCGGGATTCGAAAGACCATATTCTGTCCCGGCACGTGCCTAGACGAGTGTGGCCGGGATTGGGTCTTGGGCTGCATATCGTCCATTATTTTTCTTTTCGAGATATAAATTTGACCCGGGAGGATATTTGACGATGGTGTATTAAATCAGATGTACGCTGAAGATTGTAGGAGCATGCCTCGGGTGTCTCAGGGTATCAAGATATTTGGTTACGATATAGTTCTGCGACTGAAATCCCAGGCTGGGCGCAAGGCAATGAGTGGAGGCTCAACCCTGTGGAACTGCGCCTTGTTGTAAGCAGCCCGATCGCTTCAGGTGTCCAAATAGAGTGAGAAACTGCCATGTGGTGACGGAAAATACGGGAGAGGCGAGAGGGAAGATCGACTCGAACGCCCGGGCGCTATCCCCGATGAGGTAATTTCTCGTATTTGTCGCTTGGCAGAATGACCAGAAACGAGACGCTGAACAGGAAACTGAATAAAAGACATCTACTTCCCGGAGTATATAAATCGGAAACCCATACCAAGTCTTGGAAATTGGATTCGAGAAACATGCAATTCATCATTCATCGAAGATATCCATGCGCATAACTCATACTTCATATATTGATATATTTTTTTTTGCATAGAGAATGAAGAGTTAGGTATCGTTGAATACTAATAGTGGATTTAGCCCATCTTCGCATTGGAGAAATCCATCTCTGCAAGACCGCAAGTTAGCAATATATTCAAAGCAGAAGAATGCACTCGTCTCCGGGAATTGGCGAAGTGGTGACGAAGTGGCTAACAAGAGATGAACGAGGACAATAACATTGAACGTACCGGGATGCTCAGCCTGGAACTTCTTCAGCAATTCCATCTTCTTTTGCTCGTCACTACTGGGACCGCCCATCTCCTTCTGCCGCTGATCATACATCATCTTCTCGACCATGGCGCGAGTCTGGCCGTCCAGATCGCTTAGGTTAGAGTTCTCGGGGGTAATCTTGGTGACATCGATCTTGGGAGCGGTGGTCACAACATGAGGCCACCATTCGACCTTGTTGACCTTGTCGAGGTGGATGTTGATTTCCTTGCCGGGCGGGGTGGGGGTGGTCTCGAGGGTCCAGGAGGATTCGTCAACGAGGATAGTGTGGGGAAGGTCCCCCTAAATAGGAAAATGAAATAGTTAGCTGGGGCTGTTTGAGTTGATGTGTTTAGAGTGTACGGTGTAATCTCCGTGAGTGGGGACGGTTGGACATACCTCGATGAGGGGTTCTTGTCCCTTGATCGCGACGCGGATTTTATTCTTGGTCAATAGCACATCCAAGTCGCGGCCCTTGAGATTACCAGGAATGGGTGCTGTCACATCCAGATCACGAATCGTCTGTGTCCACTTGTAGGGGAGCTGAGCCTGTTCGGCATCCTCGCGGGCTTTCCGCTCCTTGTTCTCGCGTTCGCGTTCGGCTAGGTCGGCGGGGGAGGGGTCTCGGTCGAGATCGGCAGACATGATGGCAGGTCAGAAAGAGTAATGGAGTAAGGGGTTGGGTAGACGGTGCGGTGTACAATATAGGTATACGTTAATTGAGAGAGCCAAAAGCAAAAGCCCAAAAAGGAAAGATGTGGAGACCCTTGGCTTTTTCTACCGTTGACGCTTTTGCCGCCAGCCCTAATCGCCTCTACACCGATCTCTTTACAATGGGCTTGTATGGCTCTTTGATATCCATTTGACTGCATAATCTGAAACACAGTGACAGCACTTCAACCTTGTTTGATTCAAGTGGGTGTCTCAGTCATTTGAGCCGGGGTTGCGATGGTCTCGAGAAAGGCAGTGTATTCTGAAAGTCCATAGGACTGATAAATCGCTGTAACGTATTCCCTAATGAACACTGTTAAAGTCAGACTGGTTGCCTTCATGCCACTGTCATATATGCTAACCAGAAAATCGCAAGGCAGGAGGTACTGTCACAATAAACCACAAAGGTAAGGTAAAGAGGCAGAATTGCCCCAGTGGGAAGATCACGTTGGCCAACCGATCGTTCAGGTGGACACGGTGGCGCAGCCCCAGGTGAGAAGCAAGAAACGCAAGCAGTGCTCCCCAAAAGCACACCGCTCAGTATCACGGTGGCATTGTGAGCGACGACGTCAAGTGGTCTAGTGATGTTAGGATATGTCTCCTACCGTTTTGGGACAACCTACAAGGATGACGATGACTGAACCTCATCAGCGGCATCCATGACGTGCAGCTGAAATGGCAGATATCAAGGAAACCTTAGGATCTCAAGTGTCACCCCACTTGCGGCTCTCTCTTTGCTTTTTGTTTTACATCCCAGTGTGTCAAAAGATGTAAGGAAAATTGTATTCTGCATGCCTTGTAACAAAAAAAAAAGAAGCCCAAAGCATCCAAGGTATAATGTACTCCCCCAAAAAAAAAACACCCTCTGATCCCATCTCCAATGCTCTCATCATCCGTAAAGGATAAAAAAAAAAAAAAAAAAAAAAAAAGACGACGACAAAAGCAAGCACCAGAAGCTCGGTTTCCAATAAACCCCACGACTTGCATAGACGGTGTCAACAATGAAGTGGTGTTGATCAACGCTGCTCGGTTTGATTATTATTATTTGATCTTCTCGCTAGTTCATTTTCTATGATCGCTGTCAGTCCTCTCTTCTGCATATGTCACAGAAAAACTCACCTCGAATCTTGTCGATCTGCTTTGCGGTGTCTTGAAGCATCTGGTCCCATTTCCTCTGGTACTCTTCAACGGTCGTAGGTTGGTCCTCGGTCTTCTCTTCGGGTTCCTCCTTGGGTGTCTCGATTTTGTCCATGATGAATATGTAGGAAGTGGTATAGTAGGCTCAAAGGATATTGAAGTCTGGAGGTCAAAGTCAAAATCGACGTGCGACAGAGGCTTTATATAACGCAACTAAGAAATTTACTAGGAAATTTTAATTAAATTTCACGAAACCTTGATCTTATTTGAAAATCAAAAAATACCCAAATACCCAAAAACCCAAAAAGAAAATCTGTCAAATGATGTTTGCTTCGGAAATAGACCGGTCACGCGTCTAAAGGGCAAGGAACGCGTTCACCGACATCTTCTCTGCCTAAATAGAACGGGAGATCGGACCACTTAGCCTTGCGCCATGAAAAAAATAATAAAAAGGGAGTAAATATCTAAATCTCATTGGTGAGGCCTGTTTGTGACCGGTTCAAGCTGAAATTAGCCTCCCTTTTTTTTGGATTTTTACCCCTTGAGAGCATCAATACTTGAATTATGATGTCAGATAACGGGACCTAGCGTACGGTACTTAATGCCTACATATTCCTACATCCACATACCCTTTGTACTCCATACTCGCCACTGATCATTCCAAATATGTCTTGTGTCTGCTAATAGGATGACTTCCAGAGTACCGAGGTTGTCCCGCACCCAATCGGGACTGGGAAGCTACATCCGCACCAGCCGATCGGATATCTTAGGACTTTAAGGGGGTAGTACGTATCATATAGTTAGAACAAGAATCAGAATATATATAAAAAAAAAAAAAAAAGGGGCACCGGGGAAGCGGGTAGAACTGGGTTTCAAAAAGTTCCCAAGTGATCGTCCGATCCACCCGAGGTGATACTTTTTGATCTATATACCCTGGATCTACATACCTACTCCGATACTCCAATATTAGTCTACGTGTTTCTAGAACGGAAATAAACACCAGGAAAATGTATATTTTAGCCCGACATCTCCAGCTGGAGGCCTTCAAGCCCAATGCTTTACTTCAGATCCCATTGGGCAGGTATTCACCGCCGATAAGAGCCCCGGGATGTGCAGAGCCGTAGACGTTGCATTTCAAGAATCCACGTGGTTTGCATACGCTAGCGCTGTGTCATGGCCGTTGTCCTTGACCGCATCCCTCTACCCATCTACGACCCGACACGTTCTGGGGGCGCCATGGTACTTTTGGTATAACGTCAGATGATGAAACCATAATTGGGCTGTTCTTCAGGCGCTAGGATCGGGTATCCGATTGTGGAGGGTTCTTATTTGATCGGTCTTTGCTTCTTCCTCCAGCGGACGATCCTTTGATGTGTTTAGGTTATACTCCGTTATCTGGAGTAAGTATTGTTTCAACGCATGTGGTGCATTATATAGCTGGCTCTTATGATTTGTTCGGGTGTGGCGCTATTCTTTATACAACCTTGGGCTTGCCAAGGGTCCAAGGGTTCAACTAGTCCAAAGGACGTACGATCATTGGTGCAAGTCTACAAGGATAAAGAGCCAAGTAGAAGAGCAAGTGGTAAGATGAATACCTGATTTTCTTTTAGGATATGCCCCCCCCATTACATGACCTACCAGTGCACATTCATCCACGGTCACCTGTCAGGTCATCCTTTCCGGAAAATGAAAAAAAAAAGAAACAAATCGTGAATTCTGGCGCTGGTGCCTGCATCCATTGGCCAGTTATGTCGTTAATGCAGTAAGCTATTCCCGAGAAACCACCGGGTAAATGGTGTAACCCATGTCACCATCTGCAGCCTCAGCCCAGTTTGAGAGGGGTCGAGTGGCAGAAGCAAAGGTGTGGACAATGCGCCGATCCATTTCACTTCGTACGCCAGGTTAGAACACCGTGATATCCCGCGGTAGATTGCGAAAAGCTTGTATACGAGTAGATAGATTCCCCTATGACGCCAGGATATGAGATCGCTGAAGAAACTGAAAGGGAAAAAAAAGAAAGAAAAAAACAAAGAAAAAAACAAAGAAAAAAAGACCTTGGTAACCACCAAAGTCTCAAAGTCCGACTTAGAGACGGTGAGCAGTGCCTCGGACTAATGAGAGTCTTGGAGGAATCACTCAAGATCATCGGGTTCAAAGTGCGAGGCGGATGTTTCCGCTGCTGCAATGTCCCCTTCGGAAAGGTCGATCCCGTTATCAAAGGGGACCGGCGTCCCCGAAGGTAGACTATTGCGCCTCTCAACGAGGTCAAAAAACTCGCCCGCAAACTCGGCCAGCTCATTAGCCACTTTAAGCTCCAGGATGGCTTCGAGCAGCTGCATTTCTTTTTTCCATTTACGATCACGCTGTGCTCTTTCCTCATGGCGACGGCGGCACAGGC